GGCAGCTTCAAAACTTGGAAGCATTCTGTATGTACAATTAAAAATTTGTCAGAGTAGCTGTAAAGCTACAGTGATTTTGTTAGATTTAAGTATAAAAATATCAAGTTTCAATGTAAAAAATAGACACTAAGTACACTAAAAACTATTAAAATAATGGACGCAATCATCGAACCAGATCCATTACACCAATTATCCAAGAAACAAAAACAGAATGTAGTAGAGTCGTAGTGGTTTCTAGAACAAAATCTCAATTAATTTATGTAAGGCTTAAGGCTGTAAGTACATACCGATAAATATCAAGTTCTTTAATGGAATTATTAACATAATTTCCTAGAATACTCTGCTTGGCAGCTGGACGACATCCTTCGTAATGGTCAGCAGGGATATCTTTACGTAAACCCTTCAATGAGCTTAGACATGTTCTTGTTATTACGACGTCGGCTGTAAATGTTTCGTTAAAAATGGATAACATTCAAATGGCCAGTACCGTCTTTAGTTTCCAAAATTTTTACACACACATCGTCTTGCTCAGGGCACACCCGTGTCCAATGCCACAGCCAATTTAATTTTTCTCCACATCCCGGCTGTGTACTTATGCATTCATAACACCATAGAGAGCAAAATGCTAAAAGATTTATGGTTAAATGATGTCCAGAGACCCTAAGAGCTAGATAGCCACACCCACCTGTTAAGTTAGTTATTATAAAGACCTACCTGAAGAGATATAACTGGTAAATACAAACAAACATATAAATATTTTATACATTATTCCAAAGGCACGAGAATTAGGATCTTAAGAAGTTATTTAAATTAACATTATTTTACAAGACATGAGTCACTTTTACATTTTAGGTTAATTAATAACAATAACAAATGCAGGTGCAATGCGCAAGCGCCTACACTTCTTGGTTATGTGGGGCAATATCGATATACAGCATGGACCATTTGTAACTGTGTTCTCACTTCTGCCAGCTCTTTCAGAAATAATCATTTTTTAATAGAAGACACGTCGACTTTCTTTTAGAGATAAGAGTATATTGTAGTCTTTGCTATATTTTTTAGTGGTGACTGATCGCTCATTGAACAGAAACATTAAAAAAATTACTGATGATGGCGTGAGGATGTGAAAGAATCTGATTTCTACCAAGGTCGTTTTTTGAACGTCAAAATAATAAATCGTAAATTAGTTTTTTAAAATCAGACAAAGATAATAAGTTAAATTCTGAACTAAGGAAACGCAGGTGGTCGACTTTGATACTATATACCTGTAAGACTGTACTAATTAGATAGTAGGTAGTAGTAGTTATTTTAATGGCGCTTTGAATGTGAGTGCATAGTATCTTTTTCGACATCGGTCGCGCACATAGAAAAAATGTAATTTGTTTGTTTTACAATATCCTGATCCCGGATCCCGCTTGTTTTTTTCAAACCACGGTGTGGGAATGGTCGGCGTTGTATGCCTTGCCCACTTATTGTCGATGATGTGGGCACGGTCGGCGTAGTGTCCCTAGTCGGCGATATGGACCATCAAAAAATAGTGTCGACGTTATGGGTATTCGGCGAAGTGTCTCGGCCCCGGGCGAGATAGAGTTAAATATATAATAGCATAATTTGTGTACAACTCACAGGCGACCAGTTTTGCGGTGGGCGACTATTTGCGATAATTGCAGGCGGTACTGTTTTTATACTAGAAGAGCAATAGGTAGGCATACAAATACAATAGAACTTATTAAATTATTTAATAAAACTGTAAGATTATAATTGTAATGGAATGGATATAATAGATATTATTGCAGGCACTACGGCGTATAACTAAACTAGATTAGTAAATACCGTAATGTACAAAAATACTTTAAATCTATTTTCGACAACAATTTTTACTATTAAAGATCATATACCACAATACAATACGATTTCATTGTGTCATTTCCAAATGAGCTGTAAATTTATACAATGGACGGACTTGACTTACCTACCATTTGACAGTTGACTTAGGTACCTACCTCCTTATGTCTAGGTCTACTAAGTACACTTTTGAAGGGTCTACATTAACATATCTTACGTTTAATACATTTTCTCTAATCGAATGCCACGCTTCATTAGATAAACTGACTAGACCATTTTTCTTCTCTGGGACTTGGTAGTACAAAGCATACAATAGAGATAATATGTGTGAGTTAAAAATTACACTTCCCAGATGAAAACATACGATTTGTAAAAACATTTGGCTAAAATTTATTTAGTGATCATTCTGTAATTCGTAGCACTGAAAGTTTAAGTCATCGTACAGATTTCCATTGGTAATGATTTCGGCGTCAGTTAAATTTATGCCCAGTGTATTTGGATTTAAATCTGTTATTAAATAGTTTCCACTAAGTCCGCACTCTTCAACCATTTGTTCTTTCGACACAGGAGGACAGAGGAAATCTGAAATTTATTTTTATTACTTAAACGGTACAATCATCAATTATCAGTTACACAAAGTATATATGGAAAGCAGTGATTTACAAACATACCCAATGAGACTTGGTATCGACATAGAATAAAAAGAAATATTCTCATTAGTACTACAGTTGTACCTACTCTGATGATAAGGTTATTGAGTCCTTTGTATTATTTATACGCGTATGTCAATGTTACAGGTACCGGCGGGTGATCAAAAAAGAATTGACGTCGAGTCACCTTTGGAAGTTCAAGTTAAGTAAATATGATTTCCCATGTAAGTAAACAAAAATTCGCCAAAAGTGACTCGACAGTAACTCTTAGTATTTACCAATGGTTATCTGTGTGGCAGTTGAGCCTACATATATATAATTAGGGTAATGAATTCTGTCTATATGAAATTGAATCATGGATAGGTACTTGCATCCGGGACACTTACGTAAATTTGAGTAGCGATTTTATTGGAATTTACGGAATTTGATTGAGGCCTCCGTAACTTCTAAGTTTATAATAGTTTTATCTGTGTGTTAAAATGTAGAAACATCTGGTCAATTTGCTTGCATTACAAAAGTTTTTATCTGGTTATTTTGCGCTAATAGTTTGTATCGGACGTAGTTTAATTAACGTACGTCTTTTGGTGCTAATAACAAGAGAGACAGGTGTACAGCGTTGTGCGCATTCCTTCGAAGCTGGCGTTATCAAGCTTTGTTGTAATTACGCATTATTTCTAAATACTGGAAGAAGGAGCTGTTTGTTTGGTGGAGGGTGTTTCGTTAAATACTGCAGGCAACGAAAAAACCGGGCTGGTTCGCGACGGTTGGATAAGAGAGTATACGTCTTTTTACGTTATTTATTCGGGTTGTCCACCCGATTTGATTGATTGAAGACGCAGTTCGTCATTAATTTTGTAATATTTCTGTGAAAAGTTAAAAGCGTGTTCCGTTTTACGGAAAAAGGTAGTCAAGTTGAAGTTAAAAAAATAAACAATCAATTTAGTACACCGTTAAGACCATCGGTCAAGGTTCTTTTTTAATAAAGTTAAAAGTTTAAACCCTTCGCACAGCCTCCGATAAATTTTTGTCATCGTCTTCAACAAACCAGTTCGTTTAGCAGTTTGTGCGTGTTGTGAGGAAAGTACGCTCCCGTCATTTAGATTTATATAATGACTTTTTAAATTGTGTATATCTATGCGCGTTCCTCTGGCGGAAATATCTCAATCCATTTTAAATGACAACTTTCAATAATATGTTTTACTAACTAAATCTCCTAAGTTTGTCGGATTGAGTTGAAGTCTAGGTTGAAGGTTGAAGTCTTGGATCCGATCGAATTTCAACCCTGCATCGTTTATACCTTATATGTCAATCGGATCTGCAAAAACCGGATAGAACCTCTCCACTAAGTAGGTACGTTCATGCGGCGTAAACGCAGTCTGTGATTCGAAATTGCTGAGAGTGTACAGGTAGGTACCTATCGGCTATCTTTATCTTTCTGACAATGTATAAGTATTTTATTCCGGGTGGTATTAGGTATATTCATTTCAAATAGAATCGTAGAGATCATTATTATACTCCCTTATAGGTAAGTGTTAATAAATACCTTCAAGTCCACTTGTGACATCGATGACATTCACATATTCAATTTCAATATTTTGCTCCGTATGCTCCGTTGACAAAGATCTCTAAAATAGTAATAAACCAATAAATTGTTTAGACTAAAGCAAATTGTTTTACGTGGCAATCATCGACATTCTCTGGAAGAATACTAGCTGTGGCCGTTTCTAGTTCCAAATCTCTTTGCTGATTTTTGTTATAATCGTTCAAGGAGGTCTGTATAAACTGTTGCATTCGTTGCTTTTTCTATAAAAAAATTGTGTACAGATTTAACAATTCGAATGTAGCCTTACGATATTCCACGTTTTTCTATCTTCGCGCTGAGCTATAGTCCACAGATGTCCCGCTCCGTGGACCGCCTTACTGCCTTTTCTAAAGTGAGGATTGATAGATAAATTATGTCTAACGGAATTCTTCCACCTGTCATCGTTTTGCTTGTAGAAAGGAAAATGGTCTCTAAAAAAGAAAATGATAGAGATTAATCATTTTATTGTAGGTAGGTAAATTCTTTCGAGAAATGCTTAAAACGCAAATCAGACATCATTTCCTGAATTGTTGTTGTCCACGTATTTGGGGAGTCGTGCCAGGTACCTAAAAAGGACGTGTAGAAAATTCAAATTTTACGAGTTATACCCGGATATGTATTTGATAGGGATAACTGTTCACATAATTTTACAACAGCCACCTGTGTGTAACGATCCGTGTCTTACGCACACGATGTGATAATAGGCTAGCAATTATTATAATTGTTTTTGATGGTTGATATAGTCATGGTACATTTCACGGTTTGCTGAAGTTAAAGGGGGTTTTATTTACGATCAAGGGGGCGTTTTGTTAATTTTAGCTTTGGGAACTAAAAACGTGATTCTTTATTCAAATGATTAATCGTTGTGACATTGATTTATTTTATCCAATTTTGAGAAATGCAATTATAAAGCTTTTACTGTTATTAATGACACGAATAATTTAAAAGTATTTTTTTGGCGATTTTTGGCCAAAATTGTGCATACATTAGGTAGGTACCTATATTATGTTTTGCTATTTTGTCCCTTTCGTCCAGAGTGGCTGTATAGACATCACACCATACAATAAATTATTATTATTAATTAGGAATAAAATACAATGGTATAATAGGTATGTACCGTGATCATCATCTTTCATAGGGTGTAAATGTTATACGAGGATATACGGATATACAGTGCTATTTATTAAGAAGTAGACATAGGGATTTATGCTAGGATTTATGTGGTCATTTAAAAGTCGACATAGGGAAAAAGAATACACATAAATCCCTATGTCTACTTCTTAATAAACGGCACTGTATAGTGCATTCGAGATAAGATGATCATCTCCTCAACATCTCTTTTATTTGGTGAGATACGAAAAATTTGTTAAATATCCAATATGACGTGTATATGTGACATTACAATCTATCCAATCGCATATTGGAACTTCCGGTATCACGTTCGGTTAAATCGGAAATCGATGCAACTTTTGTTTTTCAAATGCAACGCCTATGTTTGTTTAAGCTATTTGAAAAGGGCAAGCAATATGCTATACGACAGCATAAAATATACATATGGTTGATATACTCAAAATGGAGAAATTCGTGATTTAATATTTAGAAGACTTATGAAATCTAGCATGTCATGTCACACAGGTGAAAAGGAAAGACCTACATCAACTTGTAGAATTGAAATTTTTCATGATGACATAAAATACACTGTTGACCCTTTATTTTCAATCAGTGGTTAAACTTGGTACTGACGTGGAAAGACTAAAATTTATATCTTTCAATTAGAATTACGTATTACCTATCTGAAAAATGTGATGTTGTTTTGGTTTTTAATTCAAGATTTGGATTCAGCAGAAAAACAATTTTTACCTTTACAACTAAGAAAATTAGAAATAGAGCCAACTTAATTGGAAACAGACTGTATATCCTACCAAGTGGTGCCAACAATTGTCGCTCATTCTCGGAAGGTTAAGGGAAAATTTGCGAGTCTCAAATACAGGCCCGTAGCTGTTGGTATTGACACCTACGTGAAATACATCTGGAGGCGCTCCCCTCCCTTCCATTACGATAAGATCTACCTATACACAAAAACTTTAGGAAATAGTATTTCATAAAACAAAAAACTAATTTTACTATCATTTCGGGATTTATTACTTCTTATCTAATACAATTTTTAATAATGAAAATTACAGGTCTTGTAATCTTTTTATTATACAGGGTGTCAATTTTAAAACTTGCACTATTTTCCAAACTAAAGAAGATATTGAAAATCGCGAAAAACCGTTTCGAGGGTATCGAGGGGGAACCAGAATGACGTTATGAGTGACACCCCCACCCCCCTTAACCCCCCAGCCCCACCTCGTAGAAAATCCTAAATGGCAACCCCATACTTGTGACATATCGTTGGAAAGCTACTGAAAAATGCTTTCCAGTGGTACCAATAAAGTCAATATTCATTAAGACAATTTAACAAAAATTTAATAAGGCCATGGTCTAGTCTACAAATGAGAATGGGAGTCTGTTATTACTATTAGGTCGGTACTGGTTAGGACCCGTATTTGGATTATTATGTTTAATTTTTATTATGTGAGATGGAAAAAACTATTCGAAAACAAAAAAATATTTCATTGATTTTTCCTACCCCAAAATCTGATTTCGACGAAACTTGATACCTACATGTGGATTAAAATTCAAGAACAATTTTCAATAGCAATCAATTCTTGCATTGCATGTTCGCATTTACTTAGCATAACTTTATATTATTATAAATAAATAATAAAAATCACGACAACGCTTAAATTAGACAAATTTATAGGGTATTTCGATGAACGGATAAGCGTGGTCCGAATAGATCAGGGTAGGCGGTGTGTTGGAACATACGATCGGTAGCTAAATTGAAAGATTGAAAGGTACCTAGTAAGAGCTAAATTCTGTCTCCAAGGAGGGTACCGTTCGTTTCGTCACGGCAAGTAAACCAACAAGACGCTTAAAGTGAACTTAATGGCTAGAACACATTCACTCGGAAGTTATAAGATCCAGTTCTGACGAACTGCAAGGAATACTTGCTCATGGACCATGAAACATACGTGAAGATGGATTTTGGGCTAAAATTTTATTTGGCTACAGCACGTGGTGATGTTCGCGCCAAATTTGTTTATTTCCGTAGATAGGTAAATTTGCACAAAAACTTCTCCAAGGTTTTCGTCACGAACAAGACAATGGAGTCGAAGGCGTACAAACAAGAGTGTCGCTGGCAAAATGCATTGTATCGTTCATTAGGGCCCTGTGAAAGTTTGGCCAGATTTGCGAAACTGCCACTACAGTCAGCAGATACTTGAGTAGTACCATGATAACGCAGCCAATCGAAAAGAATTGGAACATTATCAAGAGGAAGAGGAAGCGAAATGCTATACCTACATAGGTATAGATAGCCAGATAATGGAACAAAGATGTTGAGTTTAACTAGCAGCGTGCGCAACAGATGATGGCCAAAGAAAAAAAAACAATGAAGAAGAAGAACTATGACTAATTTCCAATGAAAATAATTACCAAACAGCAACTTCTCCATAAAATGTATAGGAATTGCCAAGATCAAACAATTAGTAACAAGTTAAAAACGTGGCCGCACGCGTCCGACGAAAGCGCAGATCAGTAATAACTCGGGAAGGAAGTGACCAGTCCAAATAAACTTTTGTCGTTCTGGTCACCGGGCTGTATTACACCGTATAAGAAAGAAACGAAACGAAAAAGCTTAAACTTCAATATTAAAAAGTAATTATAAAGATTCTGTTTTCACGAGTTTTTAGTCTAAGTAGCCATGGACTATCTTTTATCATAGTCCATGGCTACTTAGACTAAAAACTCGTGAAACAGAATCTTTATAATTAATTTTTTCGCGTATAAGAAGAGGTAGAATAATCGTTTCACATGACTTAGATGCAGAATTTATATCTCTATAACTTTTATTTGAAGTATTTTTGCGTAAAATAATTAGGAAACGTTTGCGCAAAAAAAAGTAATTTCCCATGTTAAACGCCTATGTTCCACTTTTCGATTTACACCCTGTACCTACCTATCTTAGGTAAAAAACCTACCCTAGAACACTATGCTTAATTACAAATTACTTAATCTATGCAGTTATTATTAAGCACTCTTTATTATCGTTTAATTTTTAATGTCCTTGATATGTACATATTACCTAAGCAATGAAATCTCTTAATTCTGGTTCAAAAAAACATACGAGAGGTTATCAGATCTGTTCTGAATATAAGAAGTGTACGTACTTATACTTGTTGATCAGTTTGTTTCACACTATCTTAGAAGAAGTACACAGAACAATCTATCAAAATGAAATTATTAGCAATTTTGTTATTCATATTCGGTATCTGCCTTATGGCGCACGGATGGACCTCCAGGGCACATGTAGAGATGGATCCAGGTAATTGAAAAGAAAATGCGTTTTTTAATTATAATTACACGTACTAATGTGGATTTCAGAGGACCCAGAAGTTTGTTTGTATGAGAAAGTTGGAAAATTTAGAGTTGGAGAGTCCGTATCATTACATCCAAATACATGTGCAGAAGCAACATGTGGACATGGAATCGTAACAACACACGGGTAATTCACTATTAATATAATGTTTTAAGTCATGGTAGTATCACAAATGACTTTCTAGATGCGGAGTCGTTGATGCCAAGCCGCCGTGTATCGTCAGGCGTGAAAATCTCAGTAAACCATACCCCGATTGCTGCCCAACAATTAATTGCCCACAAAACTAACAATTTAGTGATGTTAGCGACATAAATATTTCTCCCGATGTGATTTAATCCGATTTATAGGCTAAATGTGTTTTGTTTATTATGATTTATCTAGCAAAATAAAATGTTCGAAGTTGACAATAACGAATTTTGTTTAATAATTTTTGATGGAAATTGTTTTCAAGAAAAGCTTGTTGACAGCACACCTCCACATTCATACCACTCAAATGCAAAAGACTCAGTGTATGTAAGCTATTTTACTGTTTTTCATTTGAGTTGCGATTGATAAAGTAGGCAAATTAATAAGCCTAACGAAAATTTGCACCCCCTTAAACTCGGAAAAATGAATGTTTTGACACCCAAAAACTGGTCGATTTTTGTAAACGATATGGTGAAAGGAGTAAGAGGTATGTACGTTCAGTTCAGTTCACACGGTTATGTGTGACTAGATTAATGAGCATTCTTGAACGTTGTTGAAATCTATGCACAGTTTTTTGCGTTTTTTTCAAAATTTTTCCGATGCAATTCACATGTTTTAATATAAAATGCTCTAGTAAATAAAAGAATTGCTTGTCATTAAAAATTTAAAAATCCATGTGATGAGAAATTAAATATCAAATAACTTATTTCGACTTATTTAAAACATTTTTCGATAAAATGGATATTTACAACGATACTTTTCCGACACCTTGTGAGTATGTTACATACAAAAAAAAAGTAGGACCATACTGGAAAGTACCGTTACAGGGATTGTTATGAAAAAATAAATATTGCTACGTTGACTCTGTGCTAGGGGTTTAAACGAAAGGCCAAATAAGCTACAATTTGGAAGGGATTTGCATTACACTCTTATTACATGAATGATTTTTATCTCTTGGAAGAGCGCAGTTTAAAATATTAATCGACGTGTTCGAGCATATTTCCAAGAAAAAAAAACTTTCTTTAAGTTATACGAAATGTATTCCAAGTTAGAGACTCGCACTGTATACCTACCTACACTGTGTCCAAGATGAGAATATCTATCATTGACATCTCGGAAACTATAGAAATCAAAGTTGCGCAATCAAAGAATTATCATGCCGTAAAGAAAACCAGAAAACACCAATTACTTCTGAAGAAAATTTGCCGATTTCGTTTTAATTTTTGTTATTTGAACAGATACAAAAAAATAAAGAGAACACTTTCTCATTATCACTATTGGAGCTCTACAAGACACCGTTAGAGTATACAACATTTCGTTTCGAATAAATCATCATCAACTTTATTTTTGTATGTGTAAATACTGTATTGAGTAGCATTTTTTTATTACGAATACAACGATGTACAGGCACACAGAAACACAAGAGTTGGAAACTGCCATTTTCAACAGTATGGTGCACTCGCACACAGCGGCCTAATCGTGCGAGCATATAGGTACCAATCGCAGAAATTTTTCATTTTCCAAGAAATTTGTCTTCTCTCTAATTTGACCATCGTCGTATCTTCTATGGTTTCGGAGATACCCATGATAGACATAGTGTATATTCAAAAAAAATCAATATCGTGATTCGTGAACCGATTGAAGGACGGGATAAATACCTACCTATTGTTTGTTTTTTTCCGTGGCAATATAACGATTAAGTAATCCTACTGATCAAGACCACAGCCACCACAGGTTATAGATAAATGTTTATCTTGTTGACAGTTTGGTTTCTCATCTGTTTTTGAAGAAGGTTAATGATTATTATAATTACAACTTATTTAATTCATTGCCATTTCCTTGTGATATGATAATCCAACAGACAACATATACTACAGACGGTCAATCTTAAGGGGAAAAAGCACGCTAAGTTTTGTGACAAATGTCCCCTTATTTAAAAACCTGCTATCCCTCTATTTTGCTCCATCTATTAGCGCATACAACAATGTGTTGGTTCTTCTACAGATTTCTTTTATTGGAATGGTTTTGCAAATTGTCTAGGGAAAGAAGTATTGATACTTTTTTGTTAGAAAGCTGTCCCACAAGAAATCCCCATAATTTACATCTGAGGCGAAATGCTGATAATCTTTGCAGGTACACATACAAAGCAAATATCACTTCATATTCGCAATTACGTATTACTCGTTGTCTTTGGGTGCATAAGAAACGATATAACTTGCACCACTTTTCGAATTCTCGAAAAAAGTGTAATCTCCGTGTTTGTTGATATACCTACGTACTCCACTTGCCTACTTGTCTCTCCGTTTGTGGAATAAATCATTTAACTTGGATAAAGAAAACCTAAACGTAAGCAAATTTTCGAATGAATATTTGCCTCATATGTAATAAATCCCAATTGAGGTGTGCAATTATCGGTCAATTACAGCGGTAATTGCATTGTAGAAAACGAAAGAAAGAGCCCTGCGATAATTGCACATTTCATGGGAATACACTTAACAATTTTATAAGTAGGTAAGGTGAGTTTGTAATGTTTATTCGGGAAATATTCCCCCGAATTACACTCGTGCATCAAAATAATCCTGATAATTTTTAGCGCATTTTCCAACGAAGTTGGGTGCGCTATTGCAGCCACTTTCTCTGTCCGTCCGTTTGTCCGAGGCCTTAACTATTCCTATAGTTTTTGAAGATATTTAGTTCGTTCTTTTTGCATTCGGTAGCGTATCGCTCTGGCACCTGAGTCAAAGAAAATCTTAACAATTGAACTGCGCATGCGCAGGCTGCGCAATTTTAACTTTTTTATTTATTAATATATTTTGTTGAAATTTTAATCACAGATACTTGTAGTAAAGGCAAATATATCGCATATAGTAAAAATCAGATGTGCGCATGCGCAGACTGCGCAATGCAAACTTTCTTTATGGAGATATTTCTTTGAAATTTTAACCAAAGATACTTTAGTAAAAGCAAACGTATTGCATTTTATAAATATCAGATTAATAAGCGCATGCGCAGGACGCGCAATATCAACTGCGCAGTGAGTGCCAACTTCCTTATTTATGAAGATATTTCTTTAAAATTTTAACCAATAGTAATGAAAAACGTAGCGCACATAGGTATGGCCTTTGGGGAAGTATTGATCAATTTATGGAAAATGCGCTGAAGTTAAACTTCATAATTTGTTAAAAGAGCATTTTGATGCACTTGTGCAATTACCTACGAAAATTGTCACAAAGCAAAGTTTTAATAGCGATTCTCGAGATGGTTTATTTAAGTAAACGAAGAAAAAATGGGAAAATGTCGTTTTTTCGCATTTAATTAGGTATCTCGTTAACTATTCCTCTTACGGAAAAAATGAAGAGAACGAATTCGTTTAGGATCGATTTTTGTATCAGATACAGTTGGTATGATTTTTATTAAACAGAGTGCCAAGGGTCTAATAAAGTTACTTTCTTGTTCTATTTCTGGGGTTTCCACTAAACTAATTCCACAGTCCGTCGATTTGCAAAACTCATCGGGACAACAGAGACAATTGTTGGAATAGGTTGTTTTACGGTTCCACCATCCATAAAAATATTGAAAACGCTCTAGGAGTCATCCAGTTTGAAGGACAAAGCATCGAGAAGGGCGTATCAACAAAAACAAATGTTAATTTTTGGGATTACTTTTTTTGTATTTTTCCAGAAAAAACAATAACATTTAAAAATGAACGGTTCTGTACCAACCAGTGCTCGGAATGGAAATTTTCGCCGGAACGCAAGCATCAGCCCATCATGAGGAAGGGGGGGGGGGAACATAGAAAACATGTACTACGTACATTAAAACAACGAGAAAACGTAACAAAAATTAAATGTTTCATTTTTATTGTTTCCCTTGGTGTGGAGACCAGTGGATACTAATGGGTTTCGTGTGCTGGTATGATCTGAAGGACGTATTTTCGTTTCCATGTGATTTTTATCGCATTAATGACAAATAATCCAACAATATGTAGGGTTCTGTAAAATTTCTTTGTGTGCGGGTGGAGAGGATCGACGCTGCGGTCCCTTTACGAAAAGGAACAGTGTACAAATATTTTCGACGAAACGGAACGATATTGTAATACTTTTTACCAACCGGAACAGCGTTCCGGCTCGTTCCGGTCCATTCCGAGCCCTGGTACCAACTGAAAATTCGATTCTAAACAAATTCATTTCTATGAGCTCGAGCAATAGTTGATGAAATAATTGGAAGTCAAATGCGAAAAAAACTGCATTTTTCCATTTTTTCTTGTTTTTTTTTGTGTATAGCAATATGTTCCGGGAGCTTCCGGGCAGTGAACTACATAGAATACACTTGGTTTCGTTGTGTGAAATGCCAACATCCAGTTCAGAATACTTTTGGAGCTAATTTGACTGGAGTATGTTGACCCTACACATTGACATAAAATAAAGTTCGTTAAGTGCTCCCTCCCCTAATCAAAAAAATTTGTGATGGTATTATCACAGAGACATATAGGTAGGCAAGGACGTGCGAGGGGGAGGGGCGAGGGGGGCCCAGGCCCTGGACGCCAAGTCTGGGGGGCGCTGAAGTCGCCCGTCGTCGCCTTCGTCGGGAGCGTCAAAGGCGTGAGTGAAAGTTTACCTCGAATTATATAAACGAATCCGTACATACTCTTGTTTCGTATTGTATAAATTCAGAATCAGTAAAAATTTAAAAATTAAAAACTGTCGCGTTTATAAAGTCGGTAATTCCATGGAGTTAGGAAATCAAACAAAAGCGCCTGCATTTGCCATGTTTGATCTCAAATTGCCATGGCACCACTGATTTTCTTAAAAGCGCCAGTTTTTAATTATCCAATTTCTTGGATTCAAAGTTCAGGAAATTAAAAGCTATAGTATGCAAATGCATGGATTCGTAATTTTTTTCCCTGCAAAAAACCTAAATAGACTTTCTCTCTAAAATAATTAGAGAAGTGAAATGAAAAAATTTCTATTGCAATTCCTATGGTGCGTTGAACAAGTCACCACCCGGTATAATAATATATTTATTATGGAAAAACAAAAATTATGTTTATTATTCTAATAAAATCTTTCCTTGTCCAACCTCATAATTTTATATGTGGAGGCCAAATTTAGTTTCCGCCCTTGTATAACCAAACCCGCTCCATCAATTTTTTAAATGTTTAGAAAAGAGAAAAATGAAGAATTAAAATATATGCGATTTCATGTAATTTATGATGTTATACAAG